AATGAGAACGATAACGAGAAAGAGGATGTTAAGGATCTAAAAGAAAATGAACCTTGCAATAGTTTATAATAGAAATAGGACTACTCTCTCATTGTCAATTGATTTTGAGATGAAATCCCACCATTGTTAATATGGTATCAGAGTCCAAAACATTCAAACGAATATTCGGTCAAAAAATGAGATCTAAACAAGATTGATGAGTTAAAAGAGTCATGATCTTGAGAGAGCATATTAAGGATCCTTGAAAAAAGAGAGGTTGACTACTCATTTCATTACTAATTGGTTTTGAGATGGAATCCAAAAGATACGAAAGATAAGAAGTGGAGAAGAAGAAAGAGACACGGGAAAAGAAGAAAAAGAAATGACACATAAAGATTAAAAATTAATAAATATAGCCACATCATTTATAAATTAGGGTTCGAACAAAGACTTTCCTCTCTGATACTATTTTAAAAATGAACAAACCACCACCCAACTCATAAACTTGAGTTAATAGGATTTAATTCATTTATATGGATTCTAACAGTTTGTTATATACACTCTTTAATAAAATGATTTTTCTTTCGAATGAAAAAGTGTTATGCTTCAAACTTAGTAACTAAATAGACAACAATTTCAAAATTAAAAGACCAAAAATATATTTATAAATGGCATAAATATGTTTATGGCATTACGAGATAAATCACATATTTTGAAACCTCGATGTTGAATGATACTATGATATCTAGAGTTTGATTGAAAGAGAGATTAAAGAGAAGAGAACTGAGAATATACCTTTAGAGAGTATGTTGAGCAAATTGGAGGAAGATTAATTGAACGTGGCTGCCGTATACAATTGGATGCAGGTTTTTTCTCTTTCTAAACTTTTTATATTTTGAATATTTATTATTATTTATCTCTTTTTTTTAATTTTTTTAATTTTTTTTACAGACCAATTTCATTTACCTCTCTAAAAATTTAATATTTTTCTTAATTTTTTTCTAAAATTCCGTCTTTTATAAATTTTTTTTCTCTTTATAGTCTATTTTTTCCTTTGAAAATTACATTTTATTTTCTTGTTTAATTTTCTTTCACTATAACTTTTATTGGTTTATTTATTTTCTCTAAAAATTATATTTTGAATATTGTTTTTATGTCTAAATTTGATTTTACTATAATTTTTTTCTTTACCATATTTTTCTTCTCGACTTTACTTTTTTTTCTCAAAAACTTTTCTCTTTTTGTCTTTTAACTTTTCTTTCATTATTTTCTTTCTAAATCTTTTTATTTATCTCTCTAAAATATATCTTCCAAAAGTTTATTTACATTAACTTGTATTTTCATATCTCTACATTAGAGGATAGATAAAAATTTCCGCAGGGTCGGATCTCAAAAATAGGAAAAATGCATGTCCTCATCCCGTCCCCATCCTAGATTCCATTTTTAAATAATTAATATATATTTATTACACTTTTTTATACTTAACTTCTAAAAATAATTAAAAACAATTATAAAACCGATAATTTAACTTCTAAAATAATTAAAAACAATTATAAAACCGATAATTTTTCTAAAAAACATCTCTCGTACCCAAGAACGAGGTGGTGACAAAAACTAAATATCTTCACGAGCACGAGAATGTAGGAGAGCATCCTCACTCGCACTCATACCATTGTCATATTTACTTTACATAAATTTTTTTCTCTCTAATATGTATTTTCAATTTTCTAACTTTTTAAAAACAAAAAACTAAAAATGGTTACCATAGCTGTTTTGATTTTCTATTTTTTAAAAACAAAAAACAAAAAATATTATCAAACATATATATTTTTGTTTTTTAAAAACGAAAAACGAAAAACTAAAAAGAAGAATTTTTTTTTGCTTTTGTTTTTGTTTTGTTTTTGTGTTTGTTTTTGTATTTGNTGAGTAACCAACAAAATTTGGAGGGACCAATAGCTTAAGAAACAGGTCAATAATATTGCTTTCAATAAGATTTGTCGTCACTAAGCGCTATTTTCGTCGTCCCCCACCCACCTTGCTAGCCCCTTAACCCGGCCCACCACGGCCCACCACGGCCCACCATTGCGGAACCCTTGTTGCGCTCAGAAGGTTATCATCAAGGAAGTATTAGAGGAAGCTGCCGTTTTGATTTATGCCCTAAAATCTCGTAATTTTTTTATTTTTTTACTTATTAATAAAATAATAAAAATTCGGGGTAACTAAAATGTAATCTTGAACAATATGTACTTGGTATACAGGGAGATTATGCTCGAGAAGTAGCCTTTGAGAGAATATAGTAGATGGATATGGTTGGATACCCTATCATGGTCACAATGTTGATTCGCTTACTTTGTAAAAGTTACAAATTATTTTATGATTCTAATAGTTTATATAGAGAAATGGGGTAGGGGATTTCATATACAATGAGTTTGTGTAATACTAGACTGTATAATGTTAAATATTTTTTTATAAATCTATTAAAATAAAAGATAAATATTTTACAAAATGATCATACACTACTCCATCTTAATCTTGAGTGAGATATAAACTTCTATTTGTTATATGGGATAAGAATGACTCTTGTTGCCGATCCAAAAGAACCTATTATTTGGAGGACATGACTTAATAGGAAACTAGGAACATAATCTCACAAAAAATGAAATTTACTTCTTCCCGTCCTCTCATTGGTTCGAAAATAATTTAGTTTATGGTCAGGTCATAAACAAATTGTTTATCAAAGGGTTGGCGATACTTAATGTATATGATGTAATTACTATATATAACTACCACCAACGAAGAATCAACTTAATTGCATGTCGTGATTATACTCATATGGACTTAACTATACAATGCATAAGAGTGCATAACAACTTTGGATTAACTATGTCAGAAAGAGATAAAATATATATTAGAAATATTAATAAAACATTAACATTTAAGAATCTGAGTACATCTTAAATAATTAATATTTTAATATATAAGATACATTGAAAGATAAGATTAGAAATTAGAATTAGAATTAAAATTGTGCGTCCCTGATAATCTTTGTGAATAAGGCCTTCCGGCTAAGCTAATTTGTTGGATTGAGATTTAAAATAATAATAATAAATAAATAAGGAAAAAGAATTTCAAAAACAAGATTGAATGCAGGTAAAAATACTTGATTTGTAAATAAATTTAGAAATAAAAATGTTGGGTTGTGGGGTGAAGTGTTTGTCCCTATAAGCTGGAATGATGTGACTATTATTTTTGGAGCATTTGATGTATGAGGAAAAAAAGAGGGATCCCCCTTCAAATAGACTAAGGTTTATTAGGAGATAGTTGTCACATTTAACAATTTTTCTTTTCCTTACTCCATTTTCTAGCGCCATCGTGTTGGGCCACCCTTCTATTTCTTTCTATTAACACATACGAGGCGCGATTGGCTAGGAAAAATGATGTGGACATTTGAAAGAGAGGGAAAATGAGAGATTTTTCATTGGAAAGAAAATGAATTTTTATTTTAAGAAAATCAAATTATCACATCTCCTTCAAAATATTATAGAAGTGTTTTATTTTTTGCCACACTAGTGTTAAAACTATTTTTAAAATGCGAAATGATTTCATATTTATTTTCCATCAACGACATGTGGAGTGGTGCAAGGTTAATTATGAGTTTTTTTTAAATAAAATACGTGTGATATTGAAGATATATGATTACAACTACTAACCTATGGTTGTTTTGACAAACTAACAATGAATTTAAATGATGTTTTTTTAGTCTATATATTTTTCTCTGAGTTGAATAATTGTCAAGTCACACGTAGATATATTATGTGGTTCGAATTTTTACGTAGGACCCAATGAGAAACAAGTTGTGGCTAAATCAGGAAAAGATAGAACGATGACGTGACTGGAGAGGGGACCAAAAAGGACTCATAATTTTCTAGAAGGCTAGAAATTAAATTTTTTTTTGCAATGCAAAGGGAAAAAAATATGTGAGCAAAAGTAAGAAAAATATCAGTAAAATTTTTTCCCTTAATAAAAATATTGCATCGGATACCCTCGTTAGGAAATGGAAAACATAATACCGACAAAAAAAAAATCAGAACGTCGGTAAAGGTTTCTCTATGCCAATGCTATTTCAAAACGTAAGCCCTATGAGTGTGTTTGTCCTAGGTTTTTCTTCATCACTCGCCTCGGACTGCTTTTCTGCAAGGGATAGGACTTGCATTAAACTCTTGTCACAGATGACGTCAATTGTTAATTTCGATTTGTGAGTATGTGCTACGTAGGCACCGCGTAGGTACTACATATGTCTTTATCTTCAAACGCAGCTAGACCTACATAGAAACCTAATACCGATGTGGTGCTTTGTCGATTTCACTCAGATGCATAAGTTACAATGAGTATGAGACACTAAGATTTATGGCAAGAGAATTTGCATACTAGCCTCCTTCAAAGGCTTCCCGACCTTCACTTTATGGAGAGATGGAGAGGACGAGAGAGACCTGAGTGGGAGATGCATGATCCCCACATTCTGTCCCTATTGTCCTCCTTAACAGAACTAAAGAGAGGGATGAAGATAGAACAATTTCTATATTGAGATGATTTTGAAGTGAATACAAGGAGACCTTTTATAGAGCCTAAGTATAACTAATTTACAAATAATACTGAATAAGTTAGCTAATTTAGAGGAGAATCATAACTAGAGGAGGTTACAACAATCAACCTAATACACCCCCTCAAACTACTCAAGGTTGAACAGAAAAACATGAGTTTGCTACGTAAAGATAAAAAGGCTTGTGTAGACAGCGCCTTGGTAAATAAATCAGCAATTTGGTCTTTGGATGACACAAAGCGAACAGAAATATCCTTGCGCACGAACTTTTCACGAACAAAATGATAATCAATTTCTATGTGTTTGGTGCGAGCATGGAACACCGGGTTGCTGGCAAGAGATATTGCTGAAACATTATCACACCATAATATGGGGGGTCTTTCAAATAGACAAGAAAGCCACATAAAAGTGGTTGTAGCCATTATAAGTCAGCAGTAGTAGTGGCCAAAGACCGATACTCAACTTCAGTAGAAGAAGGAGACATAGTATGTCGCTTTTTGGTCGACCAAGAAATAGGGCTCAAGCCAAGAAATGCAACAAAGCCAGTGGTAGATCGGCGATCAATAGCATCTCCAGCCCAATCAGCATCATAAAAGGCAGAAAGGGTCAAGGCATTATTCTAAAACAAAATACCAAGATCCTTGGTGCCATTTAGATATCGCAAAATACGTTTAATCGCAGAATAATGAACAACTGTGGGATGTTGCATGAACTGACTAACCCGATTGAAAGAGAAAGTAATGTCAGAACGAGTAAACGTCAAATATTGTAATGAACCCACCAATTGACGATAGGGAGATGCATCAGTAAACATGGGTGCAGAAGCATGGAGATCTATAGAAGTGGACATAGGAGTGGAGCATGATTTGGCCAAGCACATTCCAGAACGGACTAATAAATCTTGTAAGTACTTTGCTTGATTCACAAAAATACCAATAGGTAAGAACTTAATTTCTAAACCCAGAAAGTACCTCAGAGCACCAAAATCAGATATTTGGAATTCAGTAGCTAGAGCTTTCTTGAGAACAGCAATGTAGGAAGAATCGAGACCAGTGATTATAATATCATCCACGTATAAGAGGAGAAAAGTCAGAGATCCATCAACAGACCGTACAAATAAAGAAGTATCAGCAAGAGAAACCTCTAACCCAAGTGTGATCAGATAATTGGTGAAGCGTTCAAACCAAGCCCGAAGAGCCTGTTTTAGGCCATACAAACTTTTGTGTAAGCAGCAAACGTAATCAGGGCAAAACGTATCAATAAAACCAACGGGCTGAGACATAAAAACATCTTCCTAAAGATTACCATGCAAAAGGGCATTCTTGACGTCAAGCTGAGTAAGTGACCAATTAAAATGAGCAGCAAGAGACAGTACAACTCGGATAGTAGGCTTTTTAACAACAGGTCTGAAGGTCTCATCAAAATCCAAGCCCTCCATTTAATGATAACCCTTAGCCACCAATCGAGCCTTATAACGGGCGATAGAGCCATCAGGATTGAACTTAGTGCGAAACAACCATTTACAACCAACAACATTCATATCGGGTGTTCGAGGGACAAGTAACCATGTACCTTGCTCCTAGAGAGCTAAAAATTCATCTGACATGGCAGCTCTCCATTCAGAAAACTTGGCAGCCTCAGTGTATGAAAAAGGTTCTATAGGAATAGTTATGGACTCACTGAGAACGGAATAGGCCCGGGGCTTAAAAATACCCGACTTTGCCCGTGTTTGCATCGGATGAACATTAATGGGGCGAACATCAGTGGCTGAACTGCAAGAAGTGGATGAACAAGTAGGATCGCCTGGTGAAACAATAGGGAAAGAGGATAATGTAGGGTTTTCATGAGGAAAGAAGGCCTCAGGGACAACAGGATCAGGCGTAACAACAGTGGATGCATTAGTCAGAGCAGTCGGCAATGGAGTAGAAGAAAAGGACATGTTATGTGCAGGTGGGACAGGGACAACACAAAAATTTAGAGCAGTGGAGGAAGAAGAAACAATGACAAGGTGGTCACAAGGACTGGGCAGCTCGTAATGAGGTAATGGTTGGGCATGGTTCAAGGTTGAGAGGTGCTTGAGAAGAATTGTAGGATCTATGGAGGAGGAGACATGGGAAGTAGGAGTATTAGGTTGGGAAAAAGGGAAGACAGTTTCATGGAACACAATATGACGAGAAACTATAGACTTACGCGTAGTGGGATTAAAACAAATATAGCCTTTGAAGTCAAGTGTATAGCCGAGAAAAACATGTTGAGATGTTTTGGGCTCAAGTTTATGTTTAGTGTATGGTTTTAATAAGGGATAACAGGCACATCCAAAAACGTTTAAATGAAGCAAATCCGAAGTCTTACCAAAAAGTTTTTCAAAAGGCGAAAACGCAACAAGAGGAGTGGGCATTCTATTTATAAGAAAGACGGCGGTAGAAAATGCATAAGGCCAAAATTCAGCAGGTGTTGAAGAATGAAACATCAATGATAGAGCAGTTTCAACAATGTGCCTGTGTTTACATTCAGCAACACCATTTTGCTCAGGAGTATAAGGACAAGATTTTTTATGTAAAATACCTTTAGATTCAAATAAGGAAGAAATGACGAATTAACAAACTCACCACCACCATCAGAACAACAAGTTTTAAGCTTAGATGAGAGAAGATTTTCAACAAATGACACAAATTTATGAAGAATAGCACTCACATCAGATTTATTTGCAATTGTAAAAAGCCAGGTAAACTTGCTAAAATTGTCCATAAAACTAACATAATAGCGACATCCAGTCAGAGAAATAACAGGAGAAGGTCCCCAAACATCACTGTGAACAAGTTCAAGAGGAGCAAAATAAGATGAGTGAGACATAGGAAATGATAGTTTAGACATTTTTGCCTTAAGACAACTAGTGCATTGACAAGTATTAAAGGAATGAGAAATTGACAAACCAAATGTAGACAAAGCATGACGTAATATTTTTGGTGAAGGATGGCCAAGCCGATGATGCCAAAGATAAGACTCCGTTTTTGCAAGAAGAGCACAGTTTTTTGGATGTAACTCATTGCGGGCTGACGACAAAGTAGACGAACTAGGAATGTGGTAGAGTCCATTAGCACTCTTTCGTTTATAGAGAGTAGTGCCAGTAACCTTATCCTGAATGAGGAACCAGTCATAGTCAAATACAAAAATGCAATGATTATCCAGACAAAATTTATGAACTGAAATAAGATTTGTGGCTAAATCAGGAGCATGAAGCACATTGGAAAGGGTAAATGCATGCGAGGATGTAGAAAGTATACCACTGCTTGTGTGTGAAATGTTTAAAGGTTGTACATTGCTGACTGTGACGGATTTCTCTCCATTGTAAGAATCAACTAGATTCAAATTGGCTAAATCATTGGTCACATGTGCATTGCAGCCACTGTCTAACAACCAAAAATTATTGTGAGTATTAGAGGATGAAGAAGGGGTCATTGCATTTACCGCCATGGCCACAAGTTGAGCAGGAGGGTGACGACCCTGAAATGTAAAGTTCATTCGGTTGTAGCAATCGAGTGCCCCATGCCCTGGTTTTAGACAAATTTGACAGTACATGCGACCACCTCGAGAGATATTGGAGGAATTATTGCTGCAACCAAAATTAGAAAGTTGGCTAGTTGAATAAGATCCACGCCCTTGATAGATACCATTGCAGTTGGTACATGATCAGTTGAAGAAGAATGTGCCGCCAATGTTTTCTCCTCGCCTCAAGCAACACAGAAAGTTCCTTTACAGAAATAGTGTCATTTCGTGTTCTAATAGAAGTGCGGAAGGCATTAAAGTTTGAAGTTTGACCATTAAGAATATGAACAAGAATTTCCTCATCATCTATTTGAATAGATGCAGTAGCAAGACGATCAACAATATCTTTAATCCGACGAATATATTGTTCGACAGACTCAGTAGAGGACTTTTTTACCGTATATAGGGCGGAGCGTAATTCGAGGATACTGGAACGTGATTTAGAAGAATGCTTCTTTTCAAGGGACAACCATAATTCTTTCGCCGATTTGGAACTGACAACATGTGCTAAGGCAGAGGGTGAAAGTGTGGCGTTAATTAGTGTGATAAGACCCTGATCACGAGAACTCCATTGAAGAAATGCGGTATTGACTTCGGTGGTTATAGTACCAGTGGCAGATCGAACAAACTATTCCGGAGAAGGAGAAGAACCGTCAACATGGCCAAAAAAGGAATGTGCTCGCAGAATTGAGGACAGTTCAAAATGCCATAGCACATAATTTGTAGAATCAAGTCGAATAGATATGAGATTGCAAATGTTTGAAAGATTAAACAATGGAGAAGAAATGGTAGATGCATTCATGAAGGAAGAAGAAGCAGAGGAAGTATCAGCCACGGTGGATTTGTGGAGAGAAAAAAAAAAGATGACCCTAGTGACGCGTGTCAATGGACTCTGATACTATAACAGAACTAAAGAGAGGGATGAAGATAAAACAATTTCTATATTGAGATGATTTTGAAGTGAATACAACGAGCCCTTTTATAACTAATTTATAAATAATACTGAATAAGTTAACTAATTTAGAGGAGAATCATAACTAGAAGAGGTTACAACAATCAACCTAATACTCCTAGCTCTACAAAGATTGTAGCATTGTCAAAGACAATCCCCTACCTGGATCGCTGGGTGTTACTATAACTTCGATAAAGTTGGTGCGCTCAACCTGAACCTAGTGCACTTGGTACCTGATCATTGTCCCTCGTGTTTCTGAGATCCGAACTCGTGCTTTGAGTCCATGTGTTCATTCAGAGGTCTTACAAGTGGGCTTCTGAATTCACCCTATAAGGCTTTATGGAAAGATTTGCAAACCTATAAACGATCTTTTTGTACCTACTTGAAATTTAAAAAGGTAATATTTAATGAAATTTATTTTTTAAAAATTGAATATGCATCATGGCCGGTGTTTAAAGATTATAGCTTAATCTTTTTTTTTTGTTTTTGCCTTTTTTTAATGAAGCAGCTGTTTGTTTTGAATTATAAATTTTTTTTAAAAAAATTAAGTATGTTAATCATCAATTAATTAATATAAAAAGAACATTCTATTGATCGACTATTTTATGAGATGACAGTATTTGTTAGCGTCTATTCATGAATTAAGACATAAAAAATAAGTTATTCCATTTTACGTATTCAAAAAAAAATTAAATTAAATTTATGAATTTTTAATATAATTAAATTGTTAAGTTAAATTAGAGTTACTGATTAGTTGAAGTTTTTTTCCTTTTTCTTTCTTTTAAATATAAAAACACGTGGAGATGGAGATTCGAATTTATGATTTATTAGTTGGAGATGGGTGTCTTGAAACAGTTAAACTAAATTTAAATTTAAATTTATTATGGGAAGTTATTAAACTCTATTAGTATAAGAAGTAGTGGTTAAGGGCTAAATCCGCCCCCACCCCCTTCAAACAGGGTAAAAGTCAAATTTTCCGAAAAAGATTCCGTCAGGTTTCTGAACTTTTTAACTTTTTAACTGTAGATTTATAAGGTTTGTGAACTCTCAACTTCCCCAGTGTAGATTTGTAAGATTTGTTTACATATAAATTTTTACTTTTGAATTGGGAGTAAGTATAAATACTGTAGTCACCTATTTTTTTATATATAAATATCATATCAATTTTTTAGTTATATTAAATGTATAAATAATTAAATCCTAATTAATTCAAAATGCTTGCTTTCTAAAAATAAAATAATACATTTTAATATAAATATTTAAAATTTACTTCTATTTATAATTTGGTGCGTAAAGTTTTAAAAATTTTAATTTTGTTCTTCAAATTCTATGCATTGAAAATCTTCTTTAAATGTTTTTTTTTTCCTGCCTAACATGTATTGTCTTTTGAATGTTAAAAAATTTGTAGTAATATTTCATTTAATATTTAATTTCTCTCAGTCTCTTATCTAACCAGGACCGCAAACTTCAACCTCGTCTGTTTTCAATTTTATGTGAGCAACATATTTAATACTGCCATTTTCATTTTATGAATTATTAATTTTCTGTGAATATTAATTGATGATAAAAATAAATTATGTTATTTCCTTAATATCTAATGAAATTTGAAAATTTCAAGTCTAAAATAAATTTGAACGATAAAACAAAATTAATTAGGCCACTTTATCACTCGCTTTGGCATAGAATTTTGCGTAGTTAGTTAGTATACAAGTGGGAGAGAAATTAGTCACGGGTTGATAAATATTTTTATTTTTAGTTTTTTATTTGAAAATTTTAGAGTGTGTTTAGTTCGTCATTTGAAACTATAAATTTGAAAATGACCGGATTCAATAAAAATAAAGTTATTTTTTAGTATTTTCAGATATGTATTTAGCAGTAGATTTAGAAATTGAATCTCAATTAAAAAAAAATTGTTCAAAGTGTTTATTAGTATATTTGTA